CATCTTTTATCCGGTCAGATATCGCAGTCAAGGAAATTTGATAATTGTCGCGAAAATGTCCCGTTATAAATCATTTATCGAATCTAATTTTCGTACAATATTTCGAAATGACAAGTTGAACATTAGTAATACTTACGATATTATTTTTTTGCAAAGCTAGTATTTCTCTGTACAACGACGCAATTAAATTTTTCACAAACTTTTTCGGAATCGATTCATTATTTCATATCGAGTGAAACTTGCCTCCGGAGATTCCTCTCGTGATAAAAGAGCCATTCGAAGGAAGAGAATTGTTATTCATAAAAAAAAGAAATATATGACATCGGAAATTTATTCGTAAAGTGAATAGTCGACAGAGAAAAACTAAGACGGTGGAAAGATAAAAAAGATATCGAGGAACGGAGCCACGTGGATTTTGCCGGAGCAACGATGGAAAACTCGCTTCTTTATTCCTTCGCATTATATTCCATACCGAAATTTTACGTTTACTACGTTCGCGTTCGTTCACGGAAATCTGTTGCATTACGGGGGTGGATGCAGCCCGTATTCGTCGCGCGCGAACCGATTGTATTTTACGCGATAGTAGAAAGGTATAGCCGCGGGGGAGAAGAGGAACAGAGACAATAAAGGAGGGTATGATCGGTGGACGGGGGATCGGAGGGGGAGGAGAGAGAAACGAAAGGGGCGAGAGAGAAAAGCCGATAAACGAGTCTGCAAACGCAGGCTGCGCGCGAAGGAGTAGTCGTATAACCGAAACGAAGAGGGAGAGAAGACGAAAGAACCCGATCGCGGTTGTAGTGTGACTCACTTGCCATAAAACGCGGAAGGAGACAGAGGGAGCAGGGGAAATCAGCCCTCCGTTCGCTCGGGGCCAACCCTCGGAATATCATCGAGGGTCTGCATCGACGAAATCGACCTTCCTTTCCCTTTTGTTATCAGTCCGAGAAACACACAATCTCTTTTCGCGGTCGCCTTGCGTGAAACGCCAAGCTGTATTCTAGAAAATCAGGTCATCGAAGTTCCTAACGTCAATCCGATAATTCCAAGTGTAAAGATTTGGCTTTCAATGATGGCGCGTTTTGTTATTTCATCTCTCCCTCCGAGAGAACTAACTTTACGTGGAAGGGAAAATATTTCTTTTTTAGATAAAATAAGGATAAAAATTATCTCGTTGTAAAATCGGAACGCTCTAAATATGATACGTACTTGGAGAAAAAGCCAACGAAACTTTGCGTGTAAAGCACGTGCGCCAGAAACGTCGTGCATCACGTGCGACAAAATTCTAAAGTGGCGAGCGAGGATATAACGAGGTTACGAAAGCGCGTCGTAATGAATGCCAACGAGTCGGGAAATATTGTTTCAGCCTTCTCTTTCTTTTCGCGGAAGAGAAAGAGAGAAAGAGAGAGGAATTGCGGTTCCGCCAGGTTTATTCTCTTAATTTGTTTGTAGAACGCGCTCTCCCCCTCGTCGAGCTCCTCCGCTCGATGAATGTCGTTTACAAAACGCATCTATATACGAGACTTAGACGCCACACGCGCATCGCATGGCTCTTTCTCTCTCTCTCTCTCTCTCTCTCTTCGTTCCGCATGAGAATAAAATATGAAAAGATAAATAAATCGTGCGCGCGAGTCGAATGATCGCCATAAAACACGCGGCGACGACGCGTTCGACGCTGCAATAAATTATTGCTCGTTAACGAATCGATGTTACTCCCCCCAGGGCGATAATTAACGACGTAAAGGCAATTATTATCGCGCGGGGGGGAGGGATGGGCGGTTAATTATAAATCATTCCCGTTCCAATCGCGCAGATGTTGCCCGCGACCTCGAAGCCGAGGATTTATCTCGAGACAATCGAGCGCGAGATTCGTTAACGGCGCCAACAACGGCGCGGTAATTTCTCGGAAGATCCGATCATTTTATCGTACCACACGGTAAAACTAGATCGCCGGCGATAAATCTCGTTCGCGAGATTAAAGTCCGCGTAGGCACTCCTTTTGCCTCTCCGCCCTCTCCGTCATCCTTCTCTCTCGCGCGACGCGCATCTTAATTCAATTTTCTTTAAACGAATCCTCTCGCGATCCGCTAAAAGAACACGGACAACCAACGGCATGTTGTATCTTTAGATCGCTAAAATGGATTTCTTTTTGAAAAATACCAACAGTTATCGCCACTCCATCCCTTAGAAAAAAATTCGTATGAAAAAAATATCAATTTTAAATTAAATTTTAAAAGCTTTTTGCGATATTGAAAAAGTCATCGGTTTTCATTTGCGGACTGACGAATCGGTATGTGGAAAAAGCGCGATTAAATAAAAGAGAGAAGCGAGTTCTCTCGTCTGCCTTCCACGCATATAAATATAGTTTGCGTAGCTTATAGCGCACGTAGAGCGGAATCCGTGTAAACATTATACGCGCAGAGACCGCTACGTAAGTTTATCCGCGGCAGAGAGCTACGTAAAAACTATGGTGGACGGGAGGAGCAAAATGGACCGTAATGTTCGACGAGCGCGATAAAAGGTGCACCTAAAGCTTCATCGGAAGGGAATAAAAGACAGCGCGAGTTCACGAGAGAAGAAACGCGTCATGCTAGGAAACGCAATATCGAGGTCTCGCCAAGCCGAGTTCCTTCGCCGGGGGAAAAGAAGAGAAACCGAGGGGGAGAAACATATCAAGACATGGATAACGATAGTGAGCCAGGAGCAAAATAGAACGTAAAACAACGTTCCTGAATAGAATCTCATTTACCGGAACCGGAAAACAAAATATAAGAGATATCTCGTAACGTTGCGTTATAATTTTGTCGAATAAAGAGACATTTCTCGAGTTGCAAGTTTCGCGAAACATAGACGATTACTCGATAATTTGATACCGAGATGTTTTTCGTCGAGAAAAATCATCCGAGACGGAAAGGATGATAAAGTTGCGCAGTTAATGCAGTACCGCTCGCGAGAGCTGCTCGTCGTCGTAAATTATCGTGGACTTATTATTGGACGCGCGTTCGCCTTCTATTACCGCGGCGCAACCCCGACAGTTTAGTTTACTCGCAAAAGTTTACAGAATAAAAAGAAATAGACGCCACGCGCGCCAGCCAGCCGGCCGTCTCTCCCGGGAGAATCGGCCATCTCTCGCCGCATTCACGATGGAAAAAGAGAGTAAAAAGAGAGAGAAAGACAGAAACGACCTTAATTAATTGAAGAAATTATTAAAATGTACCGCCAACGGCAGCCGTAGTCACGTCAACGCGCGAGACTCTTTTCGTTGCGCGCGCGCGACATCACCTGTCATTAATTATTACTAACCGCGCCAAGATTCGTGCGTTCCGAGTTGAGAAATTCAACACATATTTGACACATTCATACTTGTATTTGGAGAAATTCAACTCGACTGGATTATAAACCGGTACATGCCATTATTTGTCTCAATATTTTGGATCGAAAGTAGCTTTTATATATCGATGAATCGATTCATTCGCGGTTTCTACCTCGCAAACATCGCATCTCTCTGTTTTGCTGGCTCACCTGTCGATGTATCCGTCGCCGTCGCCGTCGCATGCCTGGAACAGCTTCCGAATGCGTTCCTCGTCGCAAATGGAGCCCGTCTCGCTTTCGGCATCGGCGGTCTGCGACATCTTCTCACTGGAGGTTGGGCTCGGCCGTCTCGCAACGAACGGTCGTCATCGGTCGTCCCGCCGATCGGTGGCAGCGGCCGTCGTTCGCCTCGCGCCTCATTTGCTCGCGATTGCCCGCCGAATTGCGTGCCGAATCTTAATTCGCGCCCGCGCGAAGGGATCGATGTCGTCGTCGCCGCCGCCGCTGTCGCTGCCGACGCGCGTCTATCTCGCGACTCGCGACGACGCGTGCCGGTCGCGCGACAAACGTCGAGGCATGATCGCTAGTCACTACCGCGACTCTTCTTCGACCTCTATCGTGCCTCTGAAATGAGAGAAAAATCGCCACAGATTATTCAATATTTACGTAAGGAAGTAACTCCAATCGAGTTTCTTATCAATGAAATCTCGCTAGCTGTCACAAAGTGACAAATTACTACGAATCTCGATTCCACTCACCTCGCTGCCGCAACCCCGATTGACCCCGTTTCCCGACGAGAGTGGGAGTCCAGAGTCCAGCGACTCGGCGCGTGTCAACGGCACGCGAGACTCGAGTCGACGACGTTGCTCGCGAGAAACATTCCGAACTCGTATGATCGAGCGAGGGACGATTATCGCGGCGCACGGTCCATCCTCGTGTCATCGACGTCACCGGAATTCCGAGGATGATACTCCCCTCCCACCGCCCTCCCGGTGCGGATGGAATTTGTTCGTCGGCGCGATAGGCGCCGCCGCCGTTCTATTTTTGGACGCGCTCGGCGGATGCCACCCGCGATCTGGCTCCGATTGTGCGCGCGGGATATAAACAGACCCGTCAATGCGGGATCGCGCGATGTCGTTTCGCGCGGTTCGCTTTTCTCGCGATAACGGCCCGGACTCGCTCGATCCGCACCCAGTTTAGCAATCCCTCGCGATTCTCTCGCGCACTGAAAACACACAGCCTGCGTTCGTGTCGCCGCGATGTCAACGAGTCACTAACCTAACTCTAACCTCAAAATCGAAACAGCGACTCACCCTACTCTCAAAGGTGACTGACGAAAACTATCGATCGAGTCGCGGTCGAAAACCTTTAGGCCGATCGCGACGCCATCTCACGTGCCGTGATAGAGTTACACGAAGTAGGCTGCGCGGATAAAGATGGATACAGTCGGTAAATGGCCGATGAATAATAATCAAAGTAGTTGCGCCAATTTCAAAGTTACGCGTACATTAATTACTTAGGAATTATCTACGTAACATGTGGATTTTTTGGATGGATTTTTTTCATAAACATGTAAGTTATGTAAACTGTCGGACTAAAAATAATAATCATATTAGTAAGATAATATTGATATTTATATAATATATTATTATTGATTAATATTGATATTCATATAATATATTAATATTTATATGATGGCGATGTAGCAACAATTTGACATTTATTAACCCACATTATTAGTCAGCGGCTTCAAGTTTCTCGCTTAATGTTGGCAAGAGCTTCTTCAGTTTCGCGACATCGTAGCTGAAACCCCACATAATACATCGTACGTGCTCCGCAGTGGGCAAACCTCGGAATTTGGCATCCGTGTCAAACCATTGGATGTGGCTCTTTTTTATGCGATCCACCAACTCTCGCAAGTGTTCGTTTCTCTTTATATCCCACGTAATATTCGATTGCGGAACTCTAACAGATCTGAGTTTCTTGTAATCGCCGTCTGCCTCTTCGTAGACTCTGTAAAATCAAATGCAAATGAAATATTTTGATGATAAATTTTAATTCTCATATCTTTTTTTTATAATTTTCTTATCGATAAAAAATGAAACTCACTCGAGGAAACCGTTATCATCGATACCATATTTTTCAGCTAAAGGTTTAAAGGCCCGCACAATGTCGATCGCTAAATAATTAAAGTTGTCTTTTGATCGGCCATTTACATTGTAATCGGTGATCCAGTTCTCAAAGACTTCCACGGCTTCCGTCATATTTTTAATCTTTTGCTTATCCTTTGTGCATGATATCACTCTCCTGGCTCGTTTTACCAAGCCGCTGATTGCATAGAACTGATACGATATGTCCCTGCCTTCCAAGGACTTGATACTCTGCAAAGCTTTCTCCTTATCCTTGAAACTTAACACGCTCTCCAATTGTTCGTTTCGCTGATTCTCTTCAGCTTCCGATGAATGTTTCGCAAATTTTGTTTCCGGCTCGCTATCGCTGCTCGACGAATCATCGTGAGTTCTCTTAGCGCCTCGCCGTTCTTCCTCGCTGTCCGTATCATTATTGTCCTCGCCAAATTTTTCACGTACCTGAGTCACCAATTTCTTCAACTTTGCAGGATCGGGACTGTACGCGAATACGATGCATCGCGTGTGCTCCTTCGTCGGCAGTCCCCGAAGATCTCCCGCATCCGTCTCGTACCATTGGATGTGCTCGTCCTTGATCTTGCCGATAATCTCCTTTAAGCGCCTATTCCTTTCAATATCCCACGTGATGTCTCCGCCAGGCACTTTCGCCGTCCGTAGGCTCTTGTAATCGCCCTTCTCAGCCTTGTAGGCCCTAATATGAAAATTTACATCAGTTCATCGAATCAGTTTGAGTCTTTATCATAAAAAAATAAAAATACGATTGGATTTTTACCTGAAGAAGTCGTCGTTCCACACATCGTACTTCTTTGCGAGACCACGAAAGATCTTGATCGTTTCGATCGGCAAGTATGCGAGATTCTCTTTTCCCCGATTATTCACTTTGTAATCCGTCAGCCAATCTTCAAAGATTTTCAAGGAATCTCGCAGATTCGCCAGTTTCTCTTCGTCCCGAGTGATCTGCAATGTTCTTTTCGCACGACTGATGAAGCTCGTGATTACGTGATATTGATAACTAATGTCGCGGCCGTCCAAAGCCTTTAGCGTATCCAACGCTTTCTGCTTATCCTTGAAACCCATTGCTCCTGCTATTTCCTCCTGCTCGGCAGATTTCGTCTTTGCGACTTTCATCTACGCGGAAAAATGATTTCTAGGTATATTTTAGTTCTCAGCTGATGTAACATCATACGAAAAAGATACAAACATGTTACAAACATATGTACGGTGACATAAATATTAAATCGATCAATTATTGAGTGAACATGATTATATGCTATTAATCGCTTCCAATTATCACCAATTGATATTCAATAATATGGAAATGATAAATTACGTGTTTGGCGGTATTTGATTTTGGCAGTTAAGTTTTCGGGAAATTGGCAACGTTCATAAAGTAATCGATTCAAAGCGACGCAGCCAATCATCAAGAGAGGACGCGCTCAAAGGCGGAGAAACAGTCAATCAGAATGCGAAGCGCGTATGTCAGTTTTATCGTTGACGTAGTCCTCGGAATTATGGAAGCTACATGGAAAGGATCAATACCTACTCGGCGATGGTTTAATCGTTATACTTGGCAACCTTAACAAAAGTTAGTGCGACTTTCTTTGGTATATTATTCGACTTAACATTCATTATTAAAACTTTAGCTACGTGAGATTTTTCGAGCCGGGAATTTCATTTCGAATGCTACTCTTGACACATGTGTTTAATATTATTTCACCAATCACATTACATTAAAATATATAATTAAAATTTATATTAAAATTAACAAAATGCTGACAGAATTAAAAAAGATACTTACGGATAATTTTTTGAATGCTCTAATTACATAAATTGATCACACAGTATTATTATCTCAAATTGTGCACTTTAGCCACCGACAGTCTTCGGTATCACTCGTATGAATCTCAGTTGCCGTTACTACTGCTATTCGTAAAGTGTTTCTAGTAGGTTTTGGATCGCAAGGTTGACGAGTCGGCTTAAGTCATCGGTTATACTTATTCAGCGGAACTTTGTTGTGTGCTAAGAAAGAGAACGGTCGACAGTGTGAACGAGGAAAAGCGAGAGGTCGATATAAACATGTCCAATCGGTGTGTCAGAGCCCGAAATACACGATTAATCGTGCATTTACGTCATATGCGCATCATCGAGAACGCAAAAAGAGAACGATCCATTTTATGACCTAATATTTATTGATTTTTCTAGATCATGACCTTTTATTTTGTAATAATACTTGATGTTATTTTCAATCGTTGCAAATCTACGTTTTCTACAATTTTATTTATTAATTCTTATTTTTAGACATCACGAGGAAACAATATTTTGAGTATTCTTGCCGTTCAAGGTCACATTTATCGAGTTTAATTGATGGAAATCCATCAATTGTTAATATATGTTGAGCTGTAAATAAAAAAAGAAGATATAAATCATGCAATTTATATAATCATTTGATAATCATTCTATTGAGATAAAGATTTATTTTATATTTATAAAATAAATTACAACCGCGATAAACTACTAAAACAGCGCACAGTAATGATCGGAGATAACGCTTAGATGCAAATCGGAATTCGCATTAAAACAGATTTATTAGTCTATCTCCGATGATAATTCAACGCGTAAAAATAAGTAATATTTACAAGATAGATTTACCACACATATACGTTCAGACGATTCGTAGCTTTGCTCCGTCACGAGGAACGTCAAATAGGGATCGACGGGAGATGTCCCTTTGAATAATATGCAAACAACAGATTCGATCACATTTATTTAACAGACGCAGCTTCCGACGCCAAGACACGTGTACGGCGCTTGTTCAATTTTCGAACTCGCCGTGCCGTCTAGTATCGAAGACTGCGCGGAAGCGGTTGTAGCCGGTAATTGAGATCTCTGCACGTTTTCATAGGGTATCGATGCACCCTCCCGATCTCTGCCGGTACTCTCCGTTTCCTGGGAATACGAGTCCCTCGGTGGAGCTTCCTGCGCCTTCGAATCGAAAGCCGGCTCGTGCGACGACAACCGACTGTAGTTTAGAAAAGTCTCTGTATAGCTCGGGGGCGGATGATGATGGTGATGATGATTGCTACCGTACTGATGAGAATAATGGGGATGATATCTACTCGGCGGTGTTTTGAAGCCCTCGTTACCGCCGAGATATTGGTGCAAATGATGAAGCCCAGAAGGTCCATACACTATAAATAAAATATAACAATTCACGTTATGTATATGTATATTATAATGTATGTTATGTATGTATATATAAATTTTAATACGCGAGAAATAACAATAAAGTTAATAAAGTCTGCTGTTATCTGCTAGTGTCTGACCTGCGGCGGTATTTGAATACATAGCGAAAACCGCGTCGCTATATCCCGCGGCAGAATGCTTCATCAAATCTGAAACTTCGTTCCCGCCCGTCCCTTTCCCGGGTGTTGCGTGACTTCGTACCATACTATTCGAAACTTCTCCGCTAATCCCCGAGGACGCGCCGGTTCCGTACGCCATATTGAAGAGCGCTTCCGGATCGCAGACAAATTTGTACACGTATCGCTCGCCGGCGACTTTTTGCATTATGCCTTTCTCGTAATAGTATCTCAACGAACGACTCAACTTGTCGTAATTCATAGCCGGTCTGTTTTTCTGAACGCCCCACCTGCGTGCGACCTATCGAGAAAAAGTGGAAGAAATTTCTATTAAAATCTCGGAATATTTTTTCACCTGAATGTTATATTTTTTGTTATTGAATTAAAAATTAGAAAATTTAGTTACTTGAAATTAAGAAATTGGAAAATGAAGAAATATAAAAATAAGCATATAAGATATTTCTCTCGATTATTTCTTTCTACAAACCTCTTCCGGCTCAATCAACTTAAACTCCATCCCGCGCCCGGTCCACGCGATACAAGGTGCATTCGCAGGATCGTCGAGCAAGGCTACGAGAAACTGCCACAATTGCAGTGAGCCGCGTCGTTGTTGCTGATAACCGACGGCTACATCGCTCCAGCTGGGCACACCAGTTGCCGACGACGGCCTCTTGTTGACATGATCCGGATTCCAGGTTGAAACTGGCGAACCCTTCTTCTGATAACAACTATTCTGCCGTTCCCAGGACGAGTTTCTGGGATCTAATTGTGTGCCCAACTCTGTCCAAGTCGGCGTGCCGCTTCGTTTCGCGTAAACGTCAGAATTCCAGTTTTCTGATCGCGGTAGGAAAGTTTCAGAAAAGGTCGATTGCCATTGGGAAGTTGAGGAAGAAGCGCTGGCCGGACGACTGGACGATGGTGACGAGCCTCTGGGATGATCCCTCGTGACGTTTCCATATTGTTGCTGTTGACGTTGCTGATAAATTAAAGAGTTTGCTGTAACAAAACGCAGCATAACTATATAGAAATTCAGTGGAAAATATCTTGACATTTAATATAGAAAATGTGTCTAAACCAATAATACGATCAAAAAAAGAAATTTCCCACAAAGATTATAGATAGATTAAAAGTGCAAAATAAAATTTTTCTAAATGTGTCATGTGTCGTCAAATTCATTACGCTAGCGACTATCAAGATATGAATAAAAAAGGAATTGTTCAGTAGAGCAATTTAAAATTATTTAAATAACTGAAAAAGTCATGTGGAAAATATCACTTTTAATTTTTCAATGTGAAAAAAGTTATACATTTATAATTTAGTAGTCACTATCGATACGTGAATTTAACAACATATGAAAAGATAAAATTATTCAAGCTTTAAAGAAGAGAGAGAGCGTAAATGTTATTAAGTTTTCAATTTTCAAAGTTGTTTTTCTCAAGAATAAAATCTTGCATGGAAAACATTACATTTTTAATTTACTTTTTATAAGATATATCTCTTTTCCAATTGTATTATTAATTTAAAAATTATATAAATTATTTTATATTCACACATAATAGCCACATCTGATCCTGACGTTTATTAACAATTCCTATGCTCTTTTGCGCGAATACAATTATTATAAAAATCTAAAAATGTTATAATGAACAACCTCCATTGGGAAGAAAGAATTTATGCTTTAGCGTGGACGAGAAACTTCGTATTAGTATAATCATAATAGAAGGCGTCACGGTGCAGAGAGATGCGGGAAGGAACGCGGGATTATCCACGGGCGTTTTTCCACGAGGAGGAGGAGAACGAGGACGAGGGCAAGGAGAGGGGTCGAGGAAGAAATTCTCGAGAGGACAAAAACGAGAGCTCTCCTCGTATTACCGATGGCACTCACGCGCCGGGCCGGTTGAAGCGCTCTCGTCACACAAATATCGGCAGGAAATTGGTGGATATTCAAAGCCCAGCGGGGACTGGAGCCCGCCCGCGGATAGCGCGCGTTGATGCCCCCTGAAATATCGAAAGCCGAGTCGAGAGCTCGCGCGATATGTATATTAATCGGGCCGCGCTTCTCTCTCTTTCTCTCGGGGACTGCCGCCACCGCCGCCACCACCCCTGTCGACGACGCGGTACCGAAAGAGCCATTCTCGAGCCGTAATCCGGTTACGCTCCAAGTCGCGCACGGGGAATATTGAAAAATTGAGGAGCCGCGCGAGCGACGATAAAACGTTGTTGCGATGCGTCCGATGCGACAACGAGTGTCATCGGAAGGGCCGAAAGTTTTGAGATGTCCATTTCCGGATCTCTTTTCGAAGGAAGACACAATAAAATCACGCTAATGGAAAAGAATAAATTAAATGTTTCGTCAAAGATTTATTCTCGCGACATTAAAAAAAAGTTGCACCGTCGCATTAGACATTAAGTATATGTGTATTCACAAATCATTTACTTTTCATATTAATGAGTTTTCGCATGCTCCAATTTTTTTATATACTTGAAACGTATTAAATCTCGGCAAAGAGATTCGCCGGAGAAAAAATTAGGTTACGCTCTTCCTTCTATTTCACTTTCCGACAAACGTAGGTCAAATCTCGGACAAAGATCTCAGGAGGTAGCTGAAAGCTTTGGACCAATGTAGCACTCTCTGGGAAAGCGGACAGGGCGCCAGGGGATGACGAAAGGGGTTGACCTCAGCCTCGGTAGACGAGCGGGGTGAGCCAGAGGCTTTGCGGGTGGTTTTAGATTAAAATTAATCGCGAGCTGATGAAACCGGTGGCGAGGTACCACCGCTGAGGGAGGTCGGAGAAGGGTTGAAATTCAGGACTGGCCATAGGGGGCGGCGGTACGCGTTGGACAGGGTGGGATCGGCTACGGAAAAGAGGATGGCTTCCACTCTCGTCCACTCTCAGACGAGGAGAAACGCGTTGTGTGCCGTTGCTCTTCCTCCCTTTTCATGCTCGTTCCGTTTCTCTTTCTCTTTGTCTCTCTCGCTCTCTCGCTTTTTCTCCTCTCTTCTGCCTCGCTGATCCTCGAATTCCGGCATAGTGTTCAATTAATAATGCAAGCTCTATTTTCCAACCCACCTGACGAGCGGCGAAATCTGACGGGCTCGCCTTGTCCTTTCCCGAACGAGCGGGAAATACTCTTTTTTTTTTCGCGTACTCCACTCTCTGTCGCACATGTGTTTTTTTTTATCCTAAAAATATATACCGCGACGCGTATCAAAGATAGAAAAGGCGAATTCAAATTTCATTCAACGCAAATTTTCCGCTGTATGTATATTGCGTGCATCGAAGAGTGATTCTGTGTTGGCAGAATAGACCGTCGCTATCCGTAATCCTCGTAATCCTCTGCTCGTATTAATTAGTGGAACTGTGGAACCAATCGGTATCCATTAACCGGTTATTACTATTCCGCTCGTTGTATTGCTCTCCGAAATTGTTTGTCCCTTCTAAACGAGATAATCTCGAATATTGTATACTTTTCTCTAAACATTCTTCAACCATTCGGAATGTTTAACAAGTCTTTGTAATTTTTTTTTCACGCGGGCAATTATAATAACGATAATAAAGTTATTTAATACTTTATCGATCTGTCTGTGTATTTAAGAATAAAAGACTCTAAAATATTCCATTAATTTTCGCGCGTGAAATGCAAACGATATCTTTTTCTGGTCAATAAATTGGATGATCGTAAGTAGATTGCAGGATATCGATACGAGCAAATGTATCCTATTATTAACCTAAACTACGTGTAAATAATTAAAACGGCTTAATGGTAGGGAGAATTACGTCAAGAGAGAAGCATGAGCGTAATCCCAGGTGACTTGGTAGTATCGCGTATACAGAGTGTCGAGCCATGGATATAACCGTAACCGAGCTCCTAAAGGATTCGGCTCACCATGTATGTATGTATGTGTGCGTGAATAAAGGAAGACTAATCGGTCTGATTACAAAGCATGAGCTTGCAACCCCTCACTGACTCTACCTTTTGTGAACGGGACGAGTGGTGGTGATAGTGTGTATCTTCTTTGATTCACATAGCCTATTAGATAATGAACGTCGATAAAAAAATCGTCATTATTATTCTCCCTGAAATATTATTCGCGCGATGCGGTTTGTGCCGTATATTTATTCTTGAATAAATACTTATGTAAGATTTAATTAATTGTTAGCAATCTTTCTCTTTCTTTGCGTGTCGCACTTGGATATCGGATTAATAGCTTATGAGAAAAGCAATTTATTTCATCATTTAAAGTTTTTTAATTTTCAAAAAAAGCTTTCTAATTTCTTCGATGATTAAAGATCTAATTTGAGTTAAAAAGCTAATTTGTTATTTCTAGAAAAATTGTTGATGCCGCATTAAAAATCTCTCTGCATTGTGCGAATCATGGAAGAATATTCGACTTACATTCCCCCGGGGAAACTAGTCTCGCCTCCTTTCTTTCTTTCTTTCTTTCGGCTTTTCTTGGAATCTGCAAGACGCTCTTCATAGCTTTCGACTTGAAAGCATCGTTTAATTATTCAATTACGCGTGCTCAGTTACGCGTAAGCGAGTGCAGTGCATTAGTTGGGAGTCTCGCAACGATCATGGGAAATGTTACATTTTATATTCCTACACACTATCTCTCTCTCTCTCTCTTTCGTCAATATTATTTGCAAAATAATATATTAAATATAGAGAATGTATAAATATCTAAATAAATATCTAAAAAAATCTGTAAATATTTTCTATATATTCATTTTAATTTTTTGTAGTTTCAAATTTTTATTATAGTGCATTTTTCGGTCGCAAGAAAAAGTCGCAAAGAAAAAGAAAGAGAAACTATATGATCAATTGAAATAACATGGCATGGATCGAACATTATCGTCGATGTAGCTATGAAATCCTTAAAGGGCTAATCGGAAGTCGACTCGATTAATGGAGAGCGGTACCCTCGTACCCCCGGTTATTTATGGATTCCATGGGGTGGAATAGTGCCACGTGGATCCTTTTGTGCAGAGATTTGTCACGGCGTGGATCTTCGTTCGAAGATAGCAAGCAGCGATTCTCAGTTTCATTCTTAATATTCGTCCGCGAAAACTGTCTAACGCGAATCATCGCGTGAATCTCTTACCGTTCTGCGTATCCTGAGATGTCGCGGATGATATGTTTGTTACGGGAAGCGGTTCCACGTAGCTTCGATCCGCCGGTTCTTCCTTCACAGCAACATCCTTCGTGCTCTTGCCAGCCGAACCATTTATCTTTCGATTCCTACGAATAACACGCAAAATTTTATTCTATACGTACAATTATGTCAATGCACGTAAATTATTTTTATCTAGAATATAAATGAAGATTTTCTCGTGTAGGTGCAGTCGCATGCGTTTTAAATCGTGTCGTTGGTACAGAAAAGTCAATCAATTATCGTTAGATCAGTTTTTTGTCAAACTTACCCGAAACAACGATCCGATCTGAGTTCGAGGAAATCATTATTTTGACTCTGCGTAATGGAAGATTGATATTGGGGATGATAATTGCCGCTATCGCCATTTCTCGTGCAATTGCTAGATTCCTGCTTTACATTTGCACCTGATATAAGTGAAATAAATCGCGATTATTAGTATATACTTTCTCCCATACTGAGACAATTTAAATATTTTATTTTTGAGCTAAAAATTTAAAGAATGAAACCTTATAGAATTATTTAATAGAAATTGATTTCTAGATTATGTCGCTTAATATTGTCTCATCAATGGCATTTCCTAAAAACAGGCGAAAATTATGATTTCAGAAATTGTAGTCTCCAAAACTGATGATCACTCATTTATTGATAATTAAGACGTGGTAAGAAAAATAAAGAAGATAAAAGCAATAATGAAACAAAAAGAAATTACAATTTAAAATATACAAGAATATATAAGAATAACATGATTGAAAATCTCACAAGAGAGAAAAAAGCTTTTTAATTTCAAAAACTTCTACTATTATTAGTATATAAACAAGCAACAATGTATAAGCTGTGAGTAAATAACTAGCAAACTAATCGGTTCTGCAAAAGAGCAACACTTATTGAAAAATAGAGATATGTTTTGATTCTTTTTTCTATAATGTTAATGTATGTTAATGTTAATGTTTTCTTTTTTCTATAATGTTAATGTATGCGACTACGGAATGACTTTTGACAATATTTTTGCACACGTAGATCTCTCCTCGCGTATCATTATCATTTATCGAATGCGCGATCGTTTTCTTCGGACGATTAATAATCGAAAGAACGACCGGGCAACGCCAGGACATAAGGGCGCGTGTCGTATCGGAAGTGAAGACGCATCGCTGCAACGACACGTGAGAGGGAAGGTGGGGTCTAATGGGGTGCCGACGATTTTGCGAGGGCGAGGACGAGGGCGAGGGCTGCGCCCCCGATAAGTCAAACAGGCTCCTGGGCCGTGGGAAGCATAAGTCACGAGCCTCCGGCGATAATTGTATTTGTAAACATTGGAAGTTTACTGATAGGAAGAAGCGCGCCACGATAGATTCAATTATCTTGATATCGCGAGATCTCGCAATAATTATCTTCAATGAGCAGATTTCGACAAGCTCTCGTTACGTAAGAGAAAGATGAAACGTTCATCGAGATACACACTCGTACATATCTTTGACATTAAATAATTATTATCCTTATACGTTATTTCTGTTTAGAAAAACGAAACATATCGAAAATCGAGAGAAATATTACCTTTCCTTTATCAAATAAATTTTTCATCAACTTTTTAATATAATATTATTCACTGATAATGCTCCATCGAATTCATATTCAAAAGCTCTAATATATCAAATAAAAATATCAATGTTACTCAATCTTGATGTTTTATACATATATGAGCATCCTAAATACGTCGCACAAGCTACATATTACGCGAAGATAGATATACGCGGCGCTTGGGAATCGTGCGTGTATCTGTGTGTGTGTGTGTGTGTATATATAGACATTAGCTAGCCCCCGATTCCCTCTGGGTGTTTGCTCGCCCGGTTGAAATGTTCGACGATACGTTTGTTCAATGCTGCTCGACGCTGAATTACACGTATCGTACCGTCGCGGATTTTGCGCGCGCGGAATAATGTAAACTGCGAGCCCCGCTCTCTCGTCTCATGTGTTCGCCACCGAGGAGAAGTCAAATACGCGGCGAGGTCCGATTTTTGTCCGTCTATCGTAATAATGAATGCTTTCCATTTAGCGACACAAGTCGACACAAGCGTCATTCTATCTTTTTTCAATAAATGACAATAAACAAAGATAGAATGACACTTGTGTCGACTTGTGTCGCTAAGTGGAAAGCACCCAATAATGTTCGCCGTCGCGAGAAAAGATACCGCGCGGCGACTCGATAGCGGTATCGATAGCGACGTTAATAAGCGCGCGCCGCGTTAACGGAGGAAAGAAGAAAAAAGGAGGACGAGAGAATCGCCGCTGGCTTAATATAAAGTGCTTACTCGCGTAATCCGATATCGATGATCGCCGACGAGCGCCGACAAACGCCCATGTTGATTCTTCCCGCTCTCTATCTAAGCTACGCTAAAAAGAACTCTGCCCCGCGGGCGCGACTTCTCGTCGGTTTTTAATAAAGGACCGATATATATTGCGCGAAAAAATGGAGCGAACGGTATTATTTCTCACGCGCTATTTTGGCGGACGCGCAAAAAGACCGCGATCGTCGAACGGGGAAAGCCGCAACGCGCGTGGAAAGTGTCGACGACTAATTAAAGATGCACGTGCGGTGTGTAACGCGTTAGCCATTGATTCGCCGATGACGATGGCGGCGATTACATCGAGCGAGTTAACGCGACACTCGACGAATCGATTCTTCCTTCAACGCGAACGGTCCCGATGACGGTCGTAAATGCGTTCCCCTCGTTACTCGATTCCGCGCGTATAGCATTTATTTATTTCGACGTAGTTGTCGCGAGGCGTCGAGAAGATGCGATATCTCGAGAGTCTAGACATCTCGCGCGCGAAAACAGATTTTCCAACCAATTTCGAGACCGAATCGAAACACTTCCGCGCTCTATACATGATTTCGCGGTGATTTCAGCGGAGATTGACATCCTCCAATCCCGTTTAGCGAATTTCCAAACCCGGATTTATTTATCCAGACGAATTACCAGAGTCGAGTATCGATGCGTAGACGCGGCTAAATAATTTCGTCATCGAGAGATTGATAAGAAACCGACAAACGAGGAATAAATGCCAAGAATTGGCACTACTTACTTGACATCTGATGAAACTCGGGGACGTACTGTTCGCTGTCTTCGGTCTCGGAGCTGCTACCTGCGCGCAAGAGACATTTCATATTAGTCCATATGTGACGATTGGAGCAGATATTAATACAACTTTAGAATAAAAATTCTACTCGCGAATATCTAAGAGAATTTCTATTTTCCGTTCCGCGGCAAAATCATCCCCCTTTGATCGTCCGTTACATTACATCCACCGCGTATTACATCGCAGTTGGGCAAGGTAATTAAAATTAATGTTCCGAGAGAATAATGGCTGCACGTAATTATCTTCGCTGGCGGCTTAGAGATAATTTGATGCTACATCTCTAAATATTAAAAATTAATAGCCGAATTTTTCGTAATAACGATACACGCACTTTGATAATTCCGATATTTAATATCTTACCATTCGCATGTCGCCAATCATTTATTTTCATTTCACACAAAAATACTATTATCAACGAAGAAATATTCAATAGTTTTGTTCTTTGTCGACACACGTGTCACCTATTTAACTTATTAATAAATTAATTTATATTTGTAAATTTATAAAAAATTTATCACTTTTTCATTTCACTTGGTCCTTGATAATAATAATACGATTGCATTCTCACACAAAATAAAAAGGAAAAAAATAAACGCCCGAACAGGGACTCGAACCCTGGACCCTCAGATTAAAAGTCTGATGCTCTACCGACTGAGCTATCCGGGCAGACAACTCCGAAGGAATTAAACACGTATTCGAATCAAACTCATGCGCAACAGGAGACGAAAAAGAAAGAAGCGATTAAATTGTTATTGTTACGTAAATTGTTATAAAATACAAATGAAGTTTACAATAAACACTCACCGTCTTGTAACCAAGTTTCCTGCCTGTAGCCTTGTGGCATGTATAATTCGCTTCCTGTAATCAATAAATTTTCCTCGAATTAACACGTGTGCATATATGCGTGTATTCATATAGTTGCATTATTGATCGCATGATAAAATCAACAAAGAGCGAGGGAAAATGCAAATACATTTGTTTGGCTACACTGGATATTGAACAGTATTTGCCGCAAATTGACAGAACACATCATGTACTTCCGCTGTTTTTGATTAATTATTGCTGTATCTATATACAATATATCCAAGGTAAAAAAAGATATTTGATACTCGACACGATAGGTGGATGGATGGAAGAGAGAATATTTCTAGTTTCGATAAAAAGAGATACATCTTATCTGAATCGAGATTGACGAGACTTGCGGGAAGACAAACGGTGCTGCCGAGTGGCTGCGAATGAATCAGAGGCAAAAACAAACCCTTCAGCGTGAATGGGCGCATAAGAATGCCGGCGTGGAAAACTGGGGTGCGTTTAATGGATCTCCAGGATTCGCTATGGGTAGCCACTCGGCGGTAACCTCATTTTGTTCCATGGCAGAATCCAGTCTAACGCGAATCGAATCTACTTACGCCACAGCTCATTGCTCGCGTGTATAAAGAGATATTCTCTTCTGCAATGATACTTCAAGGTTCACTTTTGTGTACGTGTCTTCGTAAGTGTCTACGTCACATTGAAATACATATAGTACTGGTCAAAAGTATTGCATCGCTTATAGAAACAGGGAAATGGTTACTTTGAACAAAAACATGCATTACCAGATTTTAAAACTGTTATTTTATATTTTAATAATTTTATGTACACGAGCAAAATGGCTAGAGGAAAAATAAACGTAATCATTTATTTGTATGTTTTCTATGTTTTTCGAGAGGTGATGCAATACTTTTGATCGTACGTGTAAATACGTGTAACGTGATTTTACGATCGTTCAGATTTACAAATTTACAATTAACTGCCAAATAATGGATATTATCACAGACATAAAATTCTTGTGTGTTTGTATTTAAATTAAATGATATTTAATAATATTAAAATATATTCAAAACTTACACATATCTTTCAAGTCCATCTATTCTTCTTAGAGCAATTAAGCGTTTATATTATTTTCTCAAAGCTAATATAATGATTAGCATTAGTTTCTTCAGAAAATTATAATTTGTACATTAATTATTTTAATAAATTAATAACGCAACTTATCCAAGATTTTGAAAGTATTTTCTTGTAACTTTCTTTCTGGCGAATTACATAATTTAAAGAAATATCTTTTTTGATAGTATCATATTTTATTTTACACATATATTTTTAAGTATCGAAATCTTATTTTTCTTTTATTTTTATTTTTATCCTTTTCACTATTAACTTTATCATGTTTCTAAATTTGTCGATTTTGGAAATTAATTATTTAGCTTTTAATTTCCGCGCACGTTTTTAATAAAATTTATTAAAAATTTCAGGTATTTCAGTATTATAAAAACTGTGATGCACTCTTGTAGCTAGTAATCTTTTAACATGCATAGTATAGTATGCGTTCAGACGTACAAATTTTTATGTGTTTAATAAACAATCTATAATATTACATAATTATCTATATGGATTGACGTCCACAAATTAAAACGATTGAAATAAAATTATTGAAATCGAAAATACACATTTATCCTATATTTTATAAAATGCACAATCGATTCATAAATTTTTACGTTTAATAATTAAATTTCTCCACTTTGTTTAAATTGTTAAGATGCCGCTTCCAGATACACGACAAAAAAAAGATGAACGAGAAAGCGGGGAGAGCGAGCAACAATATATTTTCATCCGTCATCGCGACGCGATGCGGCGCGGAGTTTCAATATTTCTGAATCGTCGTCGAAAAGTGGATCGAGCCGATGCAGGGGACGTAACGCGATTATGATAGAGAAATTGCGGCATTATAGGCAGTGATTGAGTTAGACGGAGGTGGTCCATCCTGGGTGAGCGGTGGCTCCGCACCACGGCATGCCAATGCTAGATATAAAGTGTCAATCACTGCAGCCAGACGTCGGCCGGGGTAGTTTGGCGACTCTCTTTGGGGTACGATGGGGGAGAGGTTCCACTGCGGGGACACCCCAGGGGAGTCTTTGCGGTGATAACACGTCGCTTATTGAATTTCGTGTCGAGAAATTGGCGTCGCATTTCTGGGTCAAGGCTAAGACACTTGTCCGGAAGAGGAAGAAGCATCGTCGGAAGACGGCGCGAATTAACGTCTCGTCGAGATGTATAGAGGTACTTTATCTAAATCCTTACACTTGTCCTTTATCAAGCAAGGGGAGCAATAATTAACCGATATTTGTCCAAGAAACACGATTACTCTCAAAGTAAAAAGTTTCATTATCAAACGAGACAAATTAGCGATATAAGAAAATATGTAATAATTGTAGATTTTCGTATATTTTTAGCATCAAAGACACACGGAGTTTGGTCGAATAGTTTGGAAAATGAGTCAAGTAATTGGCAAGTATTCCGAGCAGATTGTCTCGAACGATATTTCATGGTGCACTCGCGTCTCGCCGCGACCTTTGGAAAATAATGTTGTCGTTGATGCGACTATATAAAGATATCGACTCGGCTGCCTGCGAGTGACAGGCTCTCTTCGGGGGGTATAGCTCCACCCTCCCGTCTCTCGTTCTCCTTGGCGGCGCTTCGTTTCGGGGTACGCGTCCCGCACGTGTTCCTAAACGTGCCTCCTCCTCCCCCTCGCTATGTGTGCGCTCTTCTCGAGATCTACACAGCGACTTCGTGTGTATCGAAGGCCTCGCCCCCGATGGAAACACGACGTCTCCGAACCGCGCCGGTATCAAAGAGCTTCAAAGTCGAACGACCGGGGGAATCGAAGAATCGACCGTTCTCTATCCGCTCACCTTTTTCCCTTGATTGCAACCTCGCAAGCTCGTTAAGACATAAAGTGCAGACAAAAAAAGGATCTCGACTGACACGCAAAAAGAGTTGTCCTAGTCTCGCGCGAGAGAGAGCATATAATTTAAATATCTGATCGTTTTCACCTTCAAATCTTTTTTCATCATTGAAATTTCTACTCACCGGTGTGCAGCTTTTCATTGCTCGTGGTGTGAGACACTGGATAATTGCCGGGACAGTATTCTGCGGCGACTGTTTGAAGCGGCTCAGGTAGTCTGGCGAATTCGTTTCCGGGCTAGAACAATCGAAAGAATAGAGTTGTATTAATTAGCGTAAGACTCGAATAAAGATTTAGCAATATTTGTTACATGGCTTTTGACGAGTGTATTTCGAAAGTAAATCGCAATGTCAAGCGAGCGAAAGAGAATGTAATTAATATCAGAAAGTGATTGTGAGGCTCGAAGCTCTCAATATAGGAGCGAAAGACACAGTGAGAAATAGAGGGAGGTGGGTAAGAGAGGCGGCAAGGAAGACATCCGGTGAACGATTGGACGGTTTCCTCCTTGCGGGGCAATCTAGTGGTAAACTCAGTTACCGGTTTTGGGAATTTCGATAACGTAGACGTTCGGGCCTTTGACTCCATAAAATTTGACTACAAACTGCGAGTTGATTACAAATACGGATCGTCAGAAAATTGTGCGAAAAAGTTGTGCTATTTAAAAAAGAAAAGATATCACTATTAAAAAATTGAGTTAATAAAGCGATAAAGTAATTAAAATGCTAAAATGCGTCCGTAACACGAATTGTCTCTTATTGAATGCGAACACATTTCTGAGGGGATATATTGATATTAACGAGTATCCGGTGAACTCACGCTGCTCAAAGTTCCATTATTTGTTCATAATTTCTTGTCGAGATTTTCCTTTGATCGCAATTAATCGTCGTCCGCAATTAGCTGCCGTGATAGCATGGCGCCCGTAATCCGCGCGCTTGGACATAAATTTTAATTACATTCACTATTACCTTAAATGTTTAATACACCTGTCAATCCGCTACGTACGTACATATTTATCGATGCAAAAGTGACTCCCGCTGACAAAGAATATCTTCGTTGTACAGAAATAAATATATTCTATAATTAAGCATTAATCAAATTTCGAAAATATATTCGTGCGGATAAACAAAAATTTTAAAAATCTATCCATCGCAGATATAAAATTATTTAAATAAAATATTTAACATTACACAAAGTGTACACACATAAACACGGAAATAAAGCTAGGCTGCGTGAATTTTTACAATCAAGATGAACCTTTGTCAGAAATCGCTCATCTTTCATCTCCATCGGGCTTTCTCGTCAAGCAGGATTTAACAGCGAATTAATCAGGCAATGACGCGTGAGCGGGAAGCGCAAACACGAGGAGTGCGCGTACCATTTAACGTTAAAGGCCCGACGTGACCTTTCCCAGCGAACGGATGCGCGCGGCACGGAACATTCGGTAGGCGAGTTTATTTACGCGCATTTATGTGTCTCTCATGAAAACGAGATACCCGACGAGTCGAGGGTACGCCCCGTCGTTCGCGACGGGGTTGCAACAGGGGTCGCGACGAGAGACGGCACCCCATTTCACGTTCTCCACCCTCGTATAACAATTGCGCACTTTGGTTCGGTTTATAATAAAGTCATCGAGAGCATCGCGAGACTGTATCTCTTCTCCGACGGATCGAAAAGCATCGTCAAGATTTTAGATGCGTGCTCTTTTAAATGAAATCGATGTATTATTGAAAAGTACTGAATAGTCATTGATGATTGCATTTATAAACATAGCATTAAAAATCAATAAAATCTCATTAAAACAATCAGTTGATAATAGCGGCTGTTTTAATCAGTGATACTTAAAAAATGCGTCTTAATAAAATATTATACATGAAATTTTTTGTAGCAATATATTTTGTTAAAGAAATATCTAAATTGATTTGAAAAAATCTTGTTTATTTTTGTACATTTACCACAACTGAAGAATAAAGATAATGTATACATATATAATTCTTTTTCTCTCTCTCTCTGTCTCTCTCTGAATTTAAATATTAATTATACATATTTCCAAATACATCTATAGGAAAAACTTCTCCAAAAAGCAGTTTAAAATAAATAAAAAAAGCTTTAAAAAATATCTGCGATATTATTACTGATTTTTCAATAAAAACGATTATATTCAATAAGAGAGCAAAAATATTATTACTGCTTTAATCAATGACGTTTCTACTGAACCAATTTAAAAAAAGTGGCAACGATATCGAGGTAAAAATTACAAAGTGAATTTTAGGGAGAGAAAGATAAATTTAAAATAATTTTTATTACTGAAATGGAAAACTTATATAAATAAATACATGGAATATTTGTCACGAGATGCATATTTCGCGCGTATCCTATTTTGACCAATGGACAGGTAAAATCCGGCAGAGTTTTCTCTGCTAATTATGTGCCGATAATAGCAGCGACGGTCAATTTTATCAATTACACGCGAGAAAAGTCCCGCTGTTGTACTTTGCCAAGAAAGTTTTCCTACCCTCGTGCGACGATGAGGTGCGAAGACAATAACAGCGGCGGACACTGGAAGGCGGACAATGCCTGGCGAGAGGAACAATATATAGAGATCTCGAGATTAAAGAACGCGTCACACAACGGCCAAGTTTATCAGCTAATTGCTTTCCTCAATGCATCGCAAAAATCGCGCTAGAGAAGATCGAAATTTTTTTCTTTCGTCTTTTTTCGCCAATTAAGTCTCGACAATACAAGGGAATAGTTGGGTGTGATAAATATATTTTTTTATGTTACAAAGTATCTATTTTGTAATGTTTTGCGCTTCTGCTATCGGGGCTTTTCAAGATTTTAATAATAATTTAATTAATTTCCATTCATTACGACACACAGAGAGAAAGTAAATGCAATATGATAAAGGATAAAAATACAATATCTTTTGAATGTAAATGTAAATAAATATAGAAATTTCACATTTAGCCTTACCAACATTTAGGAATAAATAGATGATATCATCGTCACGTAGAAATATGTAAAGGATTAAAAGAAGTAAAACGAGCGTAAAAGCATGCAATATTATTAGTCGGTTCACGGAGCCAGGTCCACAGAGAAGTCAATCAAAGTGAGCAGTTAAAAAGCGCGATACGTCCCATCCCCGGAGAAGTCATCCCTAATCATGGGAAACTCGAGTGGTGACATATGCTATCTCGCGGCAGTCAATTAAACGACACCTACCGAGGAAATGGGGGGAATGCGTGTGTGGGAATCGGCTGATTTTTAGAATCAACAAACATAAATCAAGTGCCTCGCGGGTGCTTCTCTCGAGCCGAGTCATCCCCTCTCCGCGCGTGTCCATTGACCACCCGCGGATACTCGTGTCGTGTCGATGTCGTCACGGTGGTGGCCCGCACTCACGCACTCACGCACGCACGCATACACGCGAGGAATATAACGGCGACAATTACGTGTTTAGAGGACACGGAAGGGGTGGCACCCGTGGGACGAGCCAGCGGAGCGTGGAGGCGCGTGCCGCGGCAATTCGCCACCCGGTCGTCGAGCGATCGTCTCTCGAGTGCTTGACATTGTACGCGCGATGATCCCGGACCTCGTTCCGTACTTGGATGACTCCATTGTGCATCGGAGCGGCCCGGCTTCGGGGAGGCCGGATATCCGGATGAAACGCGATGGCCTTTACGCGGCGGCGCTCTCTTAATGGATCTTAAGCACTTTCGCGACGGCAACGTGCATTTTCCGAATTCTGAAATATTCCTCCCACGAGTTGGATTCGATAAAGAAGTGTCAATGGCGCGGCGAAGAGAATCGATCGAATCTATTTATTTGAAGTTTATTGAATATAATTATAGACACACACAAGCTCTCCCCTATTCTTAATCTTGTTCTCTTCATTCTGTGTCTTTGCATTTTAAAAATTGTATTATATTTCTATTTTGCATTTCTTTTTATATATTAAAAATTTTAATATCGAAATAAATGAGGATTTTTTAATAAATCATTCCGATTGCATCACATCGCTACAAGTAACATTGGACAAATACCTTGTATGTTTTTGCGTGACTGACGTGAAAAGTAAAACTTAATAAAATCGTGATACGCTTACTGAATATTCCATTACTTTGTTGCTTTGAATTTTTTATATTCCATAAAATTATAAAAATTCTTCCATATAGTACTGCCGACAGAAAAGAGAAAAATCAGTTGATTAATTTATTTGACGAATCTTTCGAAAGAATTTTAATGGATAAACATTACAATAAACTTATCAATATATATTATATTAGATAAAGCTCTTATCAACCATATAAAAGCCTCATTTATGGAGAGATAAATAAATTTTCAACTACTTACTAAGCCCGCCAATTCCGTCGTCGCGGCAGGTACCTCCTGATCGGCAATGTTCATCATAACTTTGCGTCGTGCTGCTCGTCCGCGGTCTATTCTTGTCAAACGAAAAACACACAAAGACGAGTAGATTCGCCGATTCGATCCGAGAAGAAAACGCGCAACCTCGGTTGCGCGACGCGAATGGGTCTCGTCGATCGTCGCCGATGTTGCGGCGCGAAGATCGAAGATAGCACTGAATCGGGTGATTTGATCTCGGCGCGAATAAGGGGGTGAGCGAGCCACCCTCGCGGTCGCAACCGGGGGTTGTGTCTCCGGCATGGGGTACGCCCCCAACGTGACGTAGAATTCAGTCCTGCGCGTATTCCATTTCCTTGGACCACTGCAACCGGGTGCTGGGCGGAGCTTGAAATTCATTGGCGACACACACGTTCGAGAAATACAAGGGATGACGCTGCGTCTCGCGAGAGAGAACCTTGGGTTCTCCACGGCAGCGAATTTCGCAAATTCGATTCGATCGCCATCGAGATGTTCGAACGGTACGTCCAATAAAACTTCGAGTCAGCCCGAACAAATGCATGGATTCTAGAAATCTACGATGAAATTATGAAGAAACAAATTAATTCTTTTCAGAAACTAAAAACTTTGCATACTTGACAAAATTGTTAAAAAAATATCATATTTCGATAAATTAAACATGGTTAAAATTGTCTGATTAAAAAATATAATTGTAGCAAAAATTATATTTCGAATTTTGTTTCTTTCTCGTTTTAATCTCAATAATGAAAAAAAGGATAAAGTTACATCTAGAAGAAATTATGTAGAAAATTATAATTTTTCAATGAATATTTTTTGTGGCAATAAAACGATAGCTTCTCTAAAATGGAGTATATTTTAGAATTAACAATTAATGTATATTTTCAAAAAAATTATATATATAACTATTGAATTTTTAAGCCATTTTAATGTATTTAAACGTATTTGTCTTTTTACTATTTATAGAAAAATAATTGTTGCTCCGAAATTCTACTCGTCTGCAACCATGTTCCTTTTTTTATATATTCATGATTTAAAGTCGGTATGGCAAATTTCAATATATATCGACAGACGTTATCGCTTTATACATCTGTTGATAAACGCGAAACATGACACTCAACATCAAGGCTTCACCGTCAAGATGTCACCGTCAGAAAAAAAGACACACGCGTGCGCGTACTTGCTGAATGTGCGGCCTACAATTGCTCACAATTATTCACGGCTTTTTCCATGTCGAATAATTTCTCAGCCGCAAAATTGTGCGAGTGAAAATGAGTTCGTGTTGTAAAATGCATTGAGCCAATTGACGCGACAGCGCGATTATTAATGCATCAATCATGTTATAAACATCAATCAATTATTCCTGATCGTATGAAGAGGCGACTATCGAGAAGGAAATTTCAGAATAAATTGTCTCTATTACATCACTGTAAGTAACAAACATTTTTTGAAAATGACTTGCACCTTTCTCTGTATATTCATTTAAGCTAATAACGTCGATATATTTATCCGATACTTTGTTATTAACGATATTCCACAAATTATCAGCCATAAAATTTTCTTACACGTGTAACGCTAGATTAGATTTAGATAAGAATTAAGATAGAATTATTCAATTAATTATTTGATGTCTTACGATTACAAGATTAAAGTGATACACAAATGTCTACGCAAAAGATTTCGGAGCAATAAATTGTTGATTTGTAACATTGCATTTAAAATATAGTTGTTGTACTCAATTATTAATTGTTATTTCTTTCTTGTTAGATTTATCATTACTTTATGTATAAACACGTTAAATCTCGTTAAATATTCTGCAAAATTTTTATAATGTTCGTTTTTCAATCGATCGACTCCGAAATGTTACTTTGACATTTTGCGTAATTGATACAACGGTACATTTACGTTCAAGAGCAATGTTACAAAGTTATTTCCAATTTTAATGCTAAATATGCTAATCAGATTTTGAATTTATAATATATACGCATATGTCATAATATCTGTAAGAGTATAACATTCGAAAAGGTTTCAGATTGAGGTTAGAATAACCTAATTTCTTAGAGCTATGACAGCTGTTTTCTCCATGATCGAACGATAATATCTCATAATTTTAGACTTCTCTTATAAATCGTATATAACATCATACATAATATTTATATATTTACAGATTTGACGAAATTTTGAGCGTTAATGCTCATAATATACCGATGAGATATGCGGCATCAGGTTGGAGCAAATTCTCCGCGAATCTACCTGCTTAATTCATCTACTGGTACAAACTACAATATCTGCGCTCGCCCGAGAAATGTCCGCGGTAGAGGCAACACCGTTTATTCGCACCATCGAGTGGGACATGATGGACAAAACCAAATTCTTTCCACTCAGCATGCTGTCCTCGTTCTCAGTCAGATGCTGTCTATATCCTTTGACAGTGATCAAGACTCGGCTTCAAGTGCAAAGACAAAATCACATGTATAATGGTACACGCTAATTAATTTTTTATATCGAGCGAATCGATTTAATTATTTGTAAAAAACCAATATTCTCTGACTAATGTCATTTTTTTCTTTCATATAAACGATAGGTATGATAGATGCGTGTAGAAAAATTTACAAAGTCGAAGGCATCACCGGTCTTTACAGAGGTTTCTGGATAAGTTCCATTCAAATTGTCTCTGGAGTGTTTTACGTATCCACATACGAGGGTGTACGTCATTTGCTCACGCAGGATACACCCGTCGGACGTGTTGATTCTAAAGTTAAAGCATTGATCGCCGGTGGTGCCGCCAGTTTAGTCGGACAAACGATCGTGGTCCCTTTCGACGTTCTCAGTCAACATTTAATGGTTCTCGGAATCAATAGCACTAAACATGGCAGAGTGTATATGGATAAAGTGAGTCGCGAAATTTCTATAAATCTCTCAATGTCCTGCGTTTGTTGTATATTTAAAATATCAATTGCAAAATATCATTTCTTCACAGATGGGAATGAACCCGTTGGGTTTGACCTTTGAACCTGGAAAAACCCGTGCGCAAATCTCCGCCGAAATAATAAGATTAATTTATCAGAGAGACGGTTATCGCGGCTTCTACCGAGGATACATGGCGTCTTTGTGCGCATATGTACCCAACAGCGCCCTTTGGTGGGGATTGTACACGGTTTATCAGGGTAAGCATACTTTCTAAGTAGACCACGCAGATAAAAGAATGATACGCAGATAAAAGAATCATACGTTATTTTTTATGTTTTCTTTTTCGCATAGATGAACTTATAAAGCTGCTCCCGGGATGGTTTTCGCATCTATGTATACAGGCGATGGCGGGCACCCTAGGAGGTTTTACGACTACGATCATTACAAACCCCCTGGATATCGTAAGGGCGAGATTGCAGGTGCAACGGTTAGATAGCATGTTTAGTGCGTTCAGAATACTGTGGATCGAGGAAGGACTGCTTATGTTCACCAAAGGACTCTCCGCGAGGCTTGTACAATCCGCGTGCTTCAGTTTTTCTATAATCCTAGGATACGAGACCATCAAGAGAGTGAGCATAACGGAGGAATACAAGAATTACATTCGATGGTGAGAGCTCCAGAGTTACTATTAATTTTACACGGATGGAATGGCGTGCATTTCATTCGCAATTTTTATACCACGACGCGCAACATGTGTGTTACTTTTTACACATTAAAAAAGTGTAGCCATAATTCAATCAGCACATTATTGATAATAAAAATATCCTATTAAAAAAATCAGACTCGCGTAGAACAAAATAAGGCTATGCAAATAATGCAAATCATGTTCTTTGTATTATTAAGATACGTATTATTAAGTATCGATCGTTTTTATGTAGCGATCGAAGAAGTTACGTTTCGTTATATTTGAAGAAATAAACTTGTACAGTCATGTGCGTACGTTTCACGTCATTGTTCAAACTCACGTACTACAATTTGATATATATTATAATTTCATAGAAAAAGAAACTTCGAAAAAATATACTTTGGTAAAATAATGCCTCCGAATCTAACAAAATTCTGCGAAACAGGCGTTATTTATGTAAGTGTAATGAAGCGCATTTTGTATCGCGCTACGTTATGTATCAGATGGAGTACAAAACTTTGTAACATATGTTAGATATGTTACTGTGATACAAATATAATAAATATGCTCCTATTCGTGTTTTAAATACGGCTTGTATATTAGATATGTGTTTGTGCTTATATCGCGTTGCGTGCGAGATATGTTAATAATATTATATGTAAAGATAACAGAGAGAGAATCCTAGTCAAATGGGCATGTAATATATGCGCACGTATATACATACATATATAATATATCGGCCGTCTTAAAGATATGAATTTAGAATATAATAAATAAATTAAATAGATTACTAGCGCAGAGAGATAAAAAAAACTGATAGAAGATGTGTATACTATAAAGAAATTCAAGACACAAGATTATTTAATACCTCCATCCACATACTGTTTATGTATATACAGAAAATTGAGATTCCCGATAAATTTTAAGAGGATGAATAAATTTTATCATCTACATTAAATCGCAAACAGTTGCTCATTTCCTACTTGATAACGGACCGTTTTATAATATCTTATGATTCCAAAGCGTGTGCGTTTTTTTTACTCGAATATAAATAGTTTCAATTTGATTACCGCGCGCGATACCGACTAAAAATTGGCTCCTCTCACGATGTGAACGCAACCGAGCAAATTAGCGCATCGCTTTGAAATTAACTCGCCCGATATGTAAATCAGAGGTTGAACGAACCTACGAGGATAGACAAAGAGCAAGGCACGTTCCCGAGTTTCTATTCTACGAGTCAACGATGCATCGATTGGTATGCACCGCGGAGTAGATCAATCTGACATCTCCTGCCGATGACTGGGCGCCAGATTGGCGCTGCGATTTTTCCTATGCCGGCATCGTTGCCGCTGCCTAAGGATGCATGAATTATTCCAGGGCCGAGCTAACGCCTGTCGGTCGATTAATCGAATCCAAGCGAAGCGGCCTTCGCGCGAACGATGTAAAAGTTATAATTGCATAATTGCACATGCAAATGCGCGTCACGTCGAACGTTAAATGTCAGAGACTCAAATACGGTTCAAGTATTCTGCGATTCTCGTTATCCCTTTGAGACTATAATCAATCGCATTGTATGTATATTTGCCAAGTATATAATTATTCGATTAATCAGAAATAAAATATCGTCTTATAAAAAGTATTGTTTACATTTACATAGGACTCTAGCGCATGACATTTAATCACTCCTATCGTTTACGTGCACATTTTTTCAATATCATCAATTGCTTGCATTTTTGTTTGTTGTACAATGTATGTACATGCGGAATGATTCATTCATGAACACGTGATCTCGAATGACATACATACTCTCTGTGTGGCAGGTTGTTGTAGCCATCTATCGTTGCATTAATGCATCGTACAACTTTGTAGCTCGCGTGTTCCCCTTATCTACAGGGTAGCTTATCATTCAGGCTGTGGGAAACGATTCTCTTGTACCGATAAATATCAGTACATACAATTTTCATCGCCAGATGCCTGTACGATTTATAATTATGCATTTTAAATAATATGCATTTATAATTATGCGTTTTAATTAATATTTTGACAATTATTCTTTTCGTAAATAATGAAATTTGTTTTCTCAATAAACTTGCGCACTAGATGTAAATGCCGCATGGATCGCAACTCTCAAGTCGAGGAAACATCAAGCAGAAACGGAGCTTTCGTTGTTTCCTTATTTTCAACGAGATCAAACATTCGCGCGAATCGGCGCGACATAAAGGGAAAGAGAATATTATTCGGAGAACGATGTCCCGCAAATGAGAAAACGTCTCCTTTCGTTCTTTGAGGATTCGTCGGTGGCGTTAAAGTGTCTAAAAAAAAGTCGTGCGTACTCTTTTTTTTATATTTCTCAGAGCGATCAAGGTAAGTCTTCCTTTTACTCTCACGATTTCTAAATGACATCCACTGCTGACCAATGGAGGGAGATTGTATTCGTGTATTTTATGCTACCGCGATACTCTGATAATTTTCCCGAGGGAAAAAAATAAAAAGTTTTAAGAAATCGTTTCGACTAATTCTCGTACGTTTCCTTGTGGAAAAGGGAAAAAACGAGTCGCACAACTCGAGGAATTTGGAAACGCAAGACCTGCATCATTAACTGGACTTTCAAAGGTTCGCGTACACAGGAAGGAGGAAAATACGGAACACGCGCGTTCTCTCATTAGCGACGTTTGTCAGTCAGCTCTCTCTCGGAGGCTCTTTTCCCGAAGCGACTCTCGCCTCATTTTCCAAGGACTATTCTCGCTTGCCTCATTATGTTCTGGCCGCCGTGAGCAAAACGAACACGGCGATACGTGGAAGAGAATAGCTCGCGCGGAGAACGACGACCTTACGCGCCGAAATATCGCTTCGCACTTACAATTAGAGTACTTAGACGTGTTTATGCGTATCGTTTTCCATCTAAATTAACACGTGGAAAATTGTCAGAATTTGAGATACTTGATACGCTTCTAGACGAATCTTGTCATATCGTCTGCATAAATAGCTTGATATGTAATGATAATAAATATTATTTTTATTGCTAGTATTTATTTCTTAATCCACCTGCTTTTCGACTTCCAATTTTATTTGCAATTTTTATATAGTGTAAATAAACTTTTTAAATATCTGAAATAAAGTGTTTACAGTGTCTACGTTATTTAGAATAAAATAGAATAGAAATCATCGTAAAAGAATTAAATAACAATAATATTAAACTTAATATTATCACGTCTATATTTAATTAAAATTGTACTCGTAAAAATAAAAATAGCGTATAGTATAGTATTAAATAAATAAATAAGTAAAAATTAACTTACCAAATAAACACAAAGATAAAAATTATTAAAATTAAGATCATTTTAGCTATAACTCATAGATTCTTTAAAATTAAAAATAAAATCAACATTAAAACGCAATACTATTATGTTACTCTGAAGGATATTCTTCTTCTTGTTTGATAAGAATGCGACATGACCAATAAAAATGTGAAAATAAACAATCTACGAAACTTCTCGCCACTGTCTCTTTTTCCTAGAATCACCAAGCCACTTTTAAATTTAAATGCGAAGGACAGACGACGATCGCAAGGTCCTCCATCATCTAGCGACCGAGTGTCGCGATTAATGTCGCTCTTTTTCTTCGATTAATCGAAAGGGAAAAAGTGAAAAGCTTCTCACAGAGAACTAGGATACGGAAAAAGGACGTGATTTTCCAGTCGCGAGACATGAATCCTTTAAAAATTTAACTCGTTAAACCTCTATCGAGATATACGATTATTTTTAAAGCAATCATACGGCCTTAAGAATGTTAATGATACAAAGCTACAACTTTCTTCCATGTGTAAAAGATGTTGAATCGTTTAAGTAAAATTGTTATCAAACATATCAGCCTCTAATTTATGATTAATTATGAATGTCGTGAACATCCTAGAATTTATGGATCCACAATTTTTATCAAAAAGGAGACAACATCATGATCTGGGATAATATTTCTTCAAATTAAATAGAGTCTCGCTATTTTAGGAGTCTTACTTAATCGAGCGTACATTGCATAATGAGCTTTTCTTTATTACGCATGCAAGCGTTATTTTTAACGCGTTTCACAAAATGTCATGTGCGCACGGACGCACTCGCTCACGCACGCCCGAGGGTACGTTCTAAATCCGCGTACCGTGTAAATCATCGCGCTCACGCACGTGCGTGCGAGAGCACCCGACCGCTCACGTGCCACGACCGGCTGCGCCGCGCATGAGAGCTCCTCGACCTGGACTTTTCATCGTTTTTCCACGGTTTTTCTCCATGCCTATTCACGATATTTCTTCATCATCTGCATGCTTGCATTAAAAAGTCGACGATCATTACGCATTACTTTCCCGTTATTATCGCTATCGACAACCATTAATCATTGTTCGATCATTAATTAAATAAACTCGACTGAATAGCAAAAGCAATCGAATGTTGAAAGATCTCTCTTGCCTAACGAGAAAATTTTTTCTCTTCTCTGAAGAGAAAAAAATTGCTCCGAGTAAAACGACGAGGAAAATAATCCAAGTTGAAGTTAAGCTAGCAACTAGAACAACCTGTATTTTGCAATTGCAATTACACTATAATGCGGTGGAATATCACGTTCCGTGATTTTTCCAACTCGTGACGAACCTCGCCTCGGGTGCGTAATGCGTTTCTCGATGCGAAACAGAATGCGGGGATCAACTATGGGGAAGAGAGCGAGAGCGAGAGATAAGTACGACGAGATATGCCCGGAACGATCTTCCGACAAGCACGGTACGAGAAGGAACTACTGCCTGGAAGGGTAGAGAAGACGCGTGGCCGCGGGCACGCACGTGCGTGAGCACGATGATTTACGCGGACGCGAATTTAGACCGGTTAATGTGTACGCGACCAACCCCTGGCCGCGCCGCTGGAAGAAACAGCGGATTAGTCGCGCGTTTCCCTCGCCGGCTTCGCTATACTTATCGGCGCGAGAATGCACGCGCGTGCAGAACGCGATGCAAACTACTGAGAGATGTGTTTCGGCATTTATTTTAAAGACGCGAGTGCGCAGTTGCGAAACCTGAGCAACAAAATTATGCATCTTCTCGTTCCTTTTTTTCATCTCGAATACATTCGAATTGATTTCTTTATTTTATTTCTGATACAATTGGCTATTTTTGATCAACTTTTTCTCCAACAAATGACTGACTGAATATTAATTATAATTTATACAAGTTGACTTTTTAACGATTTAACATAGATTTTAATTATTTATTTTGAACAATCATATAGGCGATATTTGTAAACAAATTTAAAAAATGGTAAGATTTAGATGTTTTTCAAAAAATTTTAATTCTATTTTTTGGCAAAAAGACTATGTTTTCAAGACACATATTTTAAAATTTTATGCATCTCGAAAAATAATCCATTTTAAAAGAAAAACGAATTAATAATTTGATCACTTTTAAGTGTTCCATCTCTCTTAAATACTTTACAAGAGGAATCGGACGCGCTGTAACGAACACGAAATTTTTCTATAATTTCATTAAAAAAATAGCGTTAAATCTAAATTAACTCGCTTTATGCAAATCGTACAAAAGAAATCTCGCACTTTACATTTTTAATTTATATAATTTCTCGTTAAACTTGCCGAGTTATTTGCTCGTTGGAAACGGAATGGGTACCGTAATTTAAACTGACACAAATGCAAGATTGCGCGACGAGTCGTTCTCGCATCGCTTTACGAAAGGCTTTAAATTCAGCGCACAAAGCAGCTACTGAACTCGTATCGTTCCTCTCGCGATCCCTCCCATCTTCCCTCCGCCCTCGTGCTTAAAGGACGAAAACGACGAGGCGGAGAGGACAGTCGACGCATAGAATGGAATGGAATTCAAGAGGCGCGAGAGCGGATCTCTCGGAGGAGAAAGATGAGCGGTGCGCTCTTTGACTTTTGTAAAAACAACCGTAAATAAATTAAATCCGACACCGCGTCATTGGAAGATACGACTATGGCGACTCTCTTCCGCAATGATCCAGCCTGTAAAACGCGAGTCGCGTCACGACAAAGATGATACGAGCGATATCTATGTTATCTTGGTCGAAGGAAGAAGAGGGAAAAAATAGAAAAAAATATAGAAGCGAGTTTTTTATCGGCCAAGACAGCTATTCCTCCTCCTTCCGACAGCTTTCCAACGAGTATTATGAGACACCGGTAGCTCGCAAAGAAGCCAAGAGGATACATAATTACGTGCGGAGGAGGAATTTTCATGTTACAACAAACCGTCCGCGTCTAGAGGGAACCCTTTATTATGGCCATTAGATTTAATGCTAGGAAGCGACGCGTCGCGCTCCTGCGAGGCATCCTTCTACGCGAGCGTTGGACTTTGCGGCCGTTAAGCAAGGCTGTGTCATATAATGCCACAAGATGAATCCTCTCGATCGAAAAGATAATAAAATTAACTTTTATTAACGTAATGTATCTCGTTAAATGGGATTCGTGTAGCGACACGGGAACCTCCCCATCATTAGGGAGATTCTTCTCCCGAGCCTGCAATTTAGATAAACGGATAGATAGGATTCTTTCCGATGTCTTTGGATTGGTTACCGTCGTCGAACAAAAA